TTTTCCATCACAATCTTTAAATCCAACAATTTCATCAGTTTCAGAATAAATTGTATAAATTCTTTTACTTGCCTCAAATCTTGATCTAAAATTTAAAAATTTTTATTTAATAATTATTTTTTACCTATTTTCTCCATTTAAATCATCAAGAAAACGAGAATGGCATCTTATTCCAGTCACATTATTGCAAGGTCCATATCCATGTTTATAACTATATTGAAGTAATTTACAAAGATAAACAGCATCTCTGTTAGCACCAGCTACTCCAAGAAATGAATGAACTAAATGAGTAAGAGGAGGGCCTAATTCCTCTTCTGTATCAACACAACGACCACCGAGTATTGCCTTTTTAAAGAAATTTTACAATTTATTATAAATTAATTTATGAAATACTTTTCTTGCAATTGGACTCCCCATACTATATCCAATAACATCAACCTGTGAATTTGAATAGGTCGTCACTGCTTGAAGCATTAGCCTTATCTAAAAAAATTTTTACAATATATGAGATCTACATTTAATAAATTTGGACAGTATTATGCCTAATGGATATCCAACCCTAGCTAATAAATCTGTAAAAAAACATAAAATTCTATAGATACGGAAATATCATATATTCTTATTTTGTCATTTATCGCTGCCCAGTATCCGATCGCCACTTATTTCGAGGGGAAATATTAAGTATTTGAATTAACTTTATAAACTTTAACTTACCAATTTTACATGTTTACACTCCATTGAATCTTTTGTCCAATGTAGCTTTCCAAATGAATAACTAGTTCCAAAAACTTCATTATCACTATATCCGTTAAACAAAAAATATTGTCTAATATTTTCGTATTCACCAGCTATTGTACTTAATCCGTGGACTAAAATAACAGGTCTATGATGTATTCTAGACTTTTTAAATAATTTTTCTATATCAAAATTACTGCTACGTTCTAGCCTTATTTCTCCACCTCCAAAACTTCCTCCTGGGCCTAAATCTCTTCTTGCTAATAATTTCTCTGCTTCATTTCCGAAATTTTCTCTGATGAAAGAACTAAATGGTTCTGATATTGTGCCAAATACGTTGTTACTTAACTGGAATAAATGAATAAAAATAAGATAATTTTTGAAGTAAATACTGTTAATTGATTGCATATTTGAAATGAATGTTTGTGTTTTTTAATTTTATTTATTTTCTTAAATTATATATGTTAATTACACTAATAGTATTTTATAAAATTAGGGAGTTTAACAACAGTAGGGTTGGCAAGATTTAAATAAAGGCACGTTTTTCTTACAGTAATCGTGTATGAGAGAACTCTTTTTCGGGATATAAGAGATGCCTATAAATCTTCATTTTTGTTAACTTAGACATCAGAAAGTCCGAAAAAGTTTAATTTTTAGCTTTTTTGTCGAGTCCAACTAATTACGAAGTACGAGGCCAAAAAAGGGAGGTACGAACTACGAGTACGATATCAAGGAATGGGGTGGTACGAAGTATGAGTACGAGCAAATCTGAAATGTATTGGTACTCTTAATATATAAAATCATGAATTGTTAAATAATTCTATCAAGATTTCTTTTTTAAGGCCATAAATTTTAAAACATTAAACATTAACTACAATTTCAACAAAAAATTAAATATAAACTATAATATATGAAAACTTGTTTAAATAAATTTTTATACATTTTCGGTACTTTTTTCAGTTTAATTTGCAATAATTTTATTTATTTAATCTGGCTGAGACGGAAATAAAACTTGAAAGAAAATGATTGATTAAATTTAGTTTTAAAATAATTTTTAATTAAAAAATATACTATAAACTATAAACTATAAAATAAATTAAATAAATATTTTTAATAGTAAAAAGAATTTAATTTTAAAATAATTTATTTACGAGATAAGTCTGTGGTTATTTAAATATTATTTTGAAAATAAATCTGCTTTAAACTAATATAAAAGAATTAAAATTATTAGAGAACGAATATTATTTATTTGTTAGCTCCAATCCTTTTATATATTGTGTACAATGATTAAATAAATATAATAAATAAATAAAATATTATAATACTATTAAAGTATTTTTTAAATATTTACATTAAATCGAGGCGTTTCTTTTTTTGGAATTAATTCCGTTAAATTATGCAGAGTTATTGATAAAAATGAGACAAATAAAGATTAATGTTAATAAAAAATAGCTAATAATTGTCAATAAAATGATACAGAATTGAGAAAAAATTATGGCAAATTAAACAAAAGTTTACAAAAATAAGAAAACATATTATATTTTATTCTCCATTTATTATTGTTGAAAGATTAAATATTATTTATTTTTTATTTATACTTTCTTTTATCAAATATATTTTTAATTTATTATTAATAAAAGAAATACAATAAAATTATAATTTATATTAAATAACAATGTACCTATCTATACAAATAATAAATTATTGAATATAAGTGATTGTCTTCTCTTAATGTATAATTTAGCTTTTTTATATTTGTCTAAATAAATATTTATTTTATTTATTTATAAATTTTATATTATTTTAATTCAAAAACATAAAATTTTAATTAAATGAAAAATAAACATAATTAGGTACTTAAATCTTCTGTCAACATTTGCAAGACAAAAGGACTCATACAAAAATTTACTAGGAAATTTCTTGAGTAATAAACACCTGCCAAATTTTTTCTAAAATGAAATCCAGAAATAAAGATACTCCAAAATGTTTATAGGAAAAATTAGAGTGTAAAAGCCATCTGTTTTAATGAGTCCTTATGGCTATTGAATAAAACATATGCTTTTAATTCTAACAAAAACATCTTTTGAATAATTTTATTTTTAATTTTTTCCTGATCTGCCACGAAAATAAATCTAAACAAATTTAACAAAAGTCAAACAAAAATAGTACCTAAAGGTAACAAAATTTCAGATAGATATGTATATAATGAGTAGAATTTAATTTGTAAAAATTGTAACATTGAAGAATCCATCTTCCATAAATCAAAAAATTGAACAATATGATGACTTTCAGTAAAAAGTATTTGCTGTACCCTATTAATTTAATATTTAATTTAATAAAAAAATAAATACAATAATAGGTGTTGATAATAAAATTAAATTTCCAAAAGGTTCAGCTCTTTTAAATTTAAATTTAAATTAAATTTAAATTCATTATTTGGATTTTAATAAAATAAAAATAAAAAAATGAAATTATTTTTGAAAATAAATCATTATTTTTTTTATTTTTTAACTTAATCAATTTTTAATTCTTTAGGTATAAAGGTAATAATAAAATAAAATAATTAAAAAATTTTTAAATTTAATTTTGATTTCAATTAAATTTTTTTATAAAGCATGGACTTATTGCTATTGTTAAGGAATTCTATAAATTAATAAAAATAATAAATTAATATAAATTACCTTATAAATAAATTTGAAATAATTAATAAAATATAATTTTTTAAAATTTTTAAAAATTAATTTGTTTCACTACATAATACTTATTTCAAGTAGGGTTGGGCCCCGAAGCTTCGGGGGCGGGTGTGTCAGGGTACGGGGTTTTCAAATTGTTTCGGGGTGGGGTGCGAGGTTCAGAATTCCTCGGGGTACGGGGAACGAGTTCGGGGCGCAACTCTAATTTCAAGATAAATTAAGGTCACTATAAATTTATAGAAATATTTTTCTCTAACAAATTTTATAAAATTTGTTACTTTGGCACTATTATTTTGTTTATCCATTATATGTTAATGATTTGATTTTCTTAAGATTAGCAGATGATAAGATTTTTAAAAAATTTGTTGAACGCACTAATATAGCTTTAATGTTTAATTTTTAAAAATGGCTGTAAAAATGGGTTAATTTTTTATTTTATCTTTTATCAGTCTTAATTTAATTTTATGAATTTATTTAAATTTTTTATTTAAATTTTTAATTTAATATTTGCTGATTATTCTGTGGAGCTTCGATGATTAACAAAAATATTTATTTTTTTAATGAAATTCATACATTTATTCTGTTCATTTTAAATAAAATAATTTATTTTATAACGGATTAATCACATTAGGCATTAACCAATTAATGAAATTAAATTTATACCACACATACATGTATGTATGTGTTAGTATATATATTTCAAATTTATTTATTTAACAAATTTATTTTTCAAATCTTTTTAAAAAATGTAAATCTTATAGAGTTAAGTGAAGTCTCCTAATTAATTTTTATTAGAAGCATAACCTATTTTAAATGGTAATTAAATTTCTTTAATTTTTTGATTTATGTAAATTCATTTTTTAAAGAATATTTTAATAATGAATTTTCTAATTTTATTATTATCATTATTATTTAATGCAGCATTAGGGGGCAATCCATTGATAAAATTGAGTGGATCCATCACACAAGACATCCAAAAAGTGATTAATTCTTGCTCAAGGTAAATCTGCTTATAAAAAATAAATTAACTAAAAAAACATAAAATAATTAAAATTAATTAAGTGTCATCATTTGTTACGATATATCTGCTGAGAGAAATTTTAAGATAAACGAACGTTTCGCCATAAAAAGCAATATTTCTAAAGAAAAAATATGTAAAGAATCAAATGCTTGGCGAGGTATTGAAGTTAAACAAGTTGATGGTTCTTTACATATAAAGGCTGATGTCTACCCTAGCAAGTAATTAATTATTTTAATTTTTTATTATTATTAAATTAAATAGCTTTATTTAATTAATAGCCTTAAGATAAAATAAATTTTTTAAGCTATATTATGAAGTTAAAAAGTGTTGGTACACTCGATTTTTTGAAGTTTCTTAAAGGAGGAAAAGAATATGCAAGTTAGATTTTTAATTAATTTAAATAAATTAAATTAATCAACAATAATATAACTTTAAATAAAAACTAATATTTTGGAAAAATGAAAATTTTTCAAAAGATAATTTTTTTAAATACTAATTTAATAGAGAAAATATATGATGCAAGCATTATTGACAAGGAATATATTAATTTAATGAAAAACAATCAAAGTCCATTGCTTTCTGAATTTCCTGGGGCGTTCATGCTTAAGATTAGCATGATTGCTGGAAATGGTGATTCTTGGATTTCTTCTGTTTGCGAAAATGTACCAACGACAACAGTTACCAACGCGAAAAGGTACCAACGACGTAAAATTGTACCAACGACTACAACAACAACATTAAAAACAATCACAACAACAACAAAATTAAAAACAACGACAACACCAACAACATTAAAAACAACGACAACGCCAACAACATTAAAAACAACATCAACTACTACTATAATGACGACCACTAAAGGTAACACTTTTTAATTGGAAAAATTAACTTAATTATTTAAGGAAAACATTGTGAACTCAAAAGTAGCCCTTCTGATTTTAATTTATATGGTTGCCAGTAAGTTGAAATTTTTTATTATTTCTCAAAATTATTTTTTTCAGCTGCTCAAGTTTTTGGAATAATACCGATATTGACCATGATGTTCGTGCGCCAGTTGATGATGTTGATCGGTTCGATATTATTTTTTAATAAATAACCAAATAAAAAATCAAAAATAGTTTAAGCATAGTGAATTAAAAAATATAAAAAGACAAAGAACAGGGTAGCATCAAACCTCCAACCCCTAGGCCAACTCCAAATGCTTTACTGACTAAGCCACAAAGACAACTATCTCTTTCTTCTTTTAATAATTAGGGTTGTTCCTCGACGGGGGAGGGGAGGGCCACGGGGAAAATTTTCGGGAGGCAGCGCCACGGGGGGGGGGGGGACGGGGGACAACCCTATTAATAATCTTAAACTTTTGCCTAAGTTGCAAGCTACCTAGCTTAGTTTAATCTATTACGGTAATTTACTAATTTTTACAGTTGTTGTAAAACTCGGACTAAATGTTTATTGAAAATTAAACAAAAGAAAGAATGTGCCAACATTATGATTTTTGAAATTTATGAGCAAAAATTAAATCAAACAAATTATGATTGGCGTTGTCAATGGAATAATATAGGAAAAGCCAATATGCATTGCATTGATAAGAAAACTTGTAATAAAGAAATCTGCAATTGTGATAAGTAAGTTTGGGGACCCGATCCGGCCCGGTCCGAAAGATCGAGTAGGGCCTCGAATTTTGGCCCAAAAAGACTCGATGCCCGACTCGATAAAAATGAGGCCCGAAAAAACCCGGTCTGGCCGGCCCGAAAAAAAATGACTCGAACGTTGGCCCGACTCGAAAACCCCAATCCTATTATTATTTATTAAATTGAATTAAAAAAATTATTTAGTAAATCGAATTAAATTAAACTTTATTTTCGATCTAGTTTTGATATAATTAAGGCAGATAAAAACAGTTTTTAAATAATTTCTTATAATTAAGAAAATTGACTGAGTGCCTAGCCGAGTTTGATAAACCTAACGTTAAACAGATCTGCTGGAATCTCCTCTTGTCTAAAGATGTTGGCAAAGATTCACCTTTAAAAATTGTCAATTCCAAAACTAATGCCTTAACAAACTCGATGAATGATATCAAAAAATTATTAAAATCTGATAAAAAAATAGATTTAAATGAAGGACTAAAATTATTAAATGAAACATCTGTAGCGTTAAAAGCAGATCAAAAGGCTTCTAATGATGCAATGGAAAACATGAAGGAAAAAATAAAAATGGTTGAAAAAGAATTGGAGGATGCCAATGCAAAGGCTGAAAAATCAAATTCAAATGAGGATTGGGCAAGTGTTGATAGAATTTCTGTTAAAGCTAGTCGAACTGGAGTAGAAGCAGCAAAGCTTGGAAGACAAATTGCTGAAAATGCTGAAAAAGGAATGGACGCAATTAAAGAAATGAAAGAAATGGAAAATTTAATGAATAAACAAGTGGAGGGTAAAAAAATTTTTTCTTTATTTTGAAAACAAAATGTAAATTATAATTTATATCGCAGCTCAAACATCAGCCACATTCGCTTATCCTATTTGTGATAAAATACAGAAACATGGAATTGGTAATGACAGTAATGGTAGACATGGCTGCTAGTAAGAGTTTCTACTAGGGGTTGACCCCGGCCCGAACCCCGCCCCGAAACAATTCGAAAACCCCGAGCGTTCGAGGTGCAACCCTAGTTTCTACTTGATTTTTTATTTAATTTAAAATTTATTCAATATTTTATTTTTTCAGTTGCGGTGAATATTACCCGTTCCATATACGGCCAAATATTGTAATGGCAGCTATCGATGCCATCGATAGGTTAATCACCAAAATATTTTTTAATTTTTAAAAAATAGTTGTTGTCAATCTCGTCATGAATGCTATATAGAACTACTAAGCTTTGAAGGGTGTAAAACTCCTCAAGGGTATCCAAAGGAATGCAGTGAAACTTCGTTCCGTTGTGGAAAGGCTTCGAGTTTATGTCAAAGGGAGTTATGTAATTGTGATATGTGAGTTATACATTAAACCTGAAAATTTATTTTATTAATTTTTTTGGCAATTGAATCGGTGTATATCAAGTTTGACCACAACAACTAAACAAAAATGCTTTGTTGGTGAAGCAAACATCATGCCAACTAACATTTTAAGCGGTCAAGCTACTAAAGGTGTAAAAGATCAAATTAATCTAGCTAAGGAAGCGATCAAGATTGCTGGCCCCATCATAAATAAAGGAAAAGAAGCCGCTAGAAATGCCATCGTAAACGTAACTTTATTTTTAAATTTTTATTTTAATATTTTGTAAAAAAAATTTTTCCATTTATTAGTCCAAAAGTTAAAAATAATTATTTTTTTATTAATTTTTTAAATTATTTTTTATTATATTTCTATAATTAATCTTTTTTAGGGTGGTGAGTATGGTGGTGCCGCAATTGAATCTGCATATGGTCCAATTGGAACTGCAGCTGGTGGATTTGCTGGAAAGCTTGTTGGTAAATATGTTGCTGGAGCTGCTGCAGATTATCTTTTGAAAGATGGAGGTGTTGTTGATAAGATTGGCAATAAAATTTCGAGCTTTTTTGGATGAAATTTAAATAAAAATTATGATCATGAAATTGTTTTTTGAAATAAACAAGATCGGAATTATTAAAATTATTTTTTTATTTGACAAAATTTGGATTATTCCGATCTCTATGCTCCATATCCCTTATTTATTAACGAAAGTTAGCTTTTATTTTTTAATATTTTTTAATTAAAATATTTAATTTCAAATTGATTGTTTTAAATTGAAAAAATAAAGATACTTTTTATTAAAATAATTTTTTTAAATATTTTTGAAATATAATAGTTAAGTATTTATTAGTGAGTCAAATAAAAAAAATATATTCATAAATATTTTAAAATTAAGATCATACAAATCAGGGATGTCTCGGGTTGAGAAAAAAGTCGGGTCGGGTTTCGGGTCGGGTTTTCAAAATTTTCTTCGGATCGGGTTTCGGGTTTCGGGTCGAAAAAAAGTCCGGGTTTCGGGTCTCGGGTCGGGTTTCGGGTCGGGTCAGTTAAAAATTTGAGCATGAAGCCAAATTTTTCGGAGAGGTTGGGGATATTAGTGATTTGCGGGCTTAATAAGATAATATATAAGTGATATAATAAGAGACAGGGATTAAATGGATTTGGATGGATTAAGAGTAATATCAGGGGATTTGGGGATTAAAAGGGATATAAAGGCATTTAAAAGTATCTGGTGAAGATGTCTAATCCATGATTTATACCTTAAACCTCCGAGACCCTCTGCAAATACCTTGAAATCCCAGATACACCTCTAAACCCTCCGATATCTCCCTGAATCCACCTTAATCCAAGTAAATCCCCCGATATCACCCTTCATCCACTCTTGCTCTTTCGACATCACGGCAAAATTACTCTGTATTTTGCAAATTTCGGAAGGCCATGAGGCCAGAATTCTTCTTTTTATGGTAAAAATCCCAACGGAAAACGTCCCACGCGATATCACGCCCACATTTTTTAATTTTTGATTTTTTTATCTTCCCCCGAAGATACCTCCTTCCACCGAAGATACCTCCCATAGATACCTCCACAAACCATCATGATCCTTAAAAATCGTGCCCAAATTCGGCAACATTTCTTAGCGCCGCAGGCGAAAATTTTCGGAAATTTGGAAGACCAACCCACTAGATTTCTTCATTTTCCAGCGCCGCAGGCGAAAATTTTGAGAATTTTGGAAGACCAACCAACTAGATTTCTTCATTATCCAGCGCCGCAGGCGAAAATTTTGAGAATTTTGGAAGACCAACCCACTAGATTTCTTCATTATCCAGCGCCGCAGGCGAAAATTTTGAGAATTTTGGAAGACCAACCCACTAGATTTCTTCATTTTCCAGCGCCGCAGGCGAAAATTTTGGGAATTTGGAAGGCCAAAGAGCCAAAAATCTTCCCTTTTTGTAATAAAATTCCAAGGAAAATGTCGGGTTTCGGGTCGGGTTTTCGAAAATTTCTCGGGTCGGGTTTCGGGTTTCGGGTCGAAAAAAAGTCCGGGTTTCGGGTTTCGGGTATCGGGTTTCGGGTAACCCGAGACATCCCTGATACAAATCGAACCCTTAGGAATGAATTAATTAGTGTTGTGCCCCGACCCCCAGCCCCGAAACAATTGGAAAACCCCGTACCCCGACATACCCGCCCCCGAGCGTTCGGGGTCCAACACTAGAATTATTGGCAAATTATTTTATTGCAGGGTTCTCATTCGTATTTTATTGAAAGTATGTACTTTTAAATCAACACGAGCGTTTAGGTGCCGCTTCGCGGCACCTAAACGCTCGTATATTAGTTTTTAAATTATTATATATTTTAAATTTGAATTCTTTGGTTTTTTAAAGTAGTATTTTCTATGTGCTATACTATCTTTTTTGAAACAAAAGCTGCCTTATCTTTTTAAATCAACTGATAACCCTAAATCCTTCGTAATTCCTCCAACTGCTCTATACATATTCTCATGTTCCCTGATAGATTTGTAATCCTCGGAAGCATATTACTCTTTCAGTTTCCCTTCAAAACAAACTAAATTTCATTTTAACCACAGATATTCCCCTTTCCCCTCAAATCCTATGTTTAGATAGCGCATGTTTCTTTATTTTGCATGATTTAGTTTCCTTATGAATTACTTGGATTTTTTGTCGAAACGACACTGTTTTTAAAGCCAAATCTTAAGTTAAAAACAAATCTTCGTTGTTGTTAATAATTTAAAATTTTTTCAAAAACTTCTCTGAAATCTGAATTTAAAAAACCTTTTTTTTGGATTTCCCTTTTGATAAAGACGAATAGAAAGTTTTAATATCTGAATGCATATGCCCCTGAATGATTTCGCACTTGTTCAAACCAAATTTAATTTTGGTGGGATATTATTATTGTGTTACGGGAATTCGGAGGGAATAAGGGGATATCGGAATAGAGTCTAGCAAAAGCATCCAAAGAAAGCCCGGCCTGTTTTATAATTTCTTTTTTTCGTTGCAAGGCGTTTTGGCACTACTTTAAGTCTTTTTTTTGGTTTTTAAGGGTTTGAAAAATTTCGGCTTTAGGACCACGGGCCACAAAATGTGAGCTTACTAAGCATAAGGAAAACTGCAAAATTTTCAATTTTTTAATTAGAAAATGGTGAAAAGCTGTTAATTTAACACCATATTTTGACAAAATTTGCGTTGGCGCAAAATGTTATATTTAATCACATATTTGTATAGCGTCTTAATAATTAAGGATTTTTTCCCAGAACTAAATCACGGGCTTTTTCAATATATTTACATATCGTCTAAAATTGATAACATGGGATTGAGAGGTTATATGGTATTATAAGGGATATATAGGGATTTGGAGAGAGTCTGCTGTTTGATCTCCTAAAATTTCAAAATTTTAGAGTGGAGCTGCTTAAAATGCGGCTGCTTTGAAGTAAAATATTGTGTTGATTAAAGAAGATTTAAATAACTTATTTCCTTCAAATCCTTAATCTCTCAATAATTACTCCTCCAAATTATTTTCATCACTTTAAACCACCCCTAATCCCTCTAAATCCACCCATATCCCCAAAAACATTTATATCATGTAAAAAGTTTTTTTCGGAAAACACCGATCCTCCGACCCGAACCCCATCCATATTTTGGTCCTCCGACCCGTTCCACAAACCGAACCAATTCGAAAATTGGTTCGGCGCGGGGAACCTCGAAACCACGAAATGCCTTCTCCCGAGATTTTCGATCAATTTTTTGCAAATATTTTCATTATCAAATAATTTGATCAAATATTTGTTCAATCTCGTTTTCCTCTTAAACACAAAATTTTAATCTCTGATCTATGTATTACCTCGAAGCTTTTCAAAATTCAAAATTATGTTCAAACATCGTTTTTAAGCATATATCAGCAGTTAGATTTATAATTTTCCCATAGATTCGAAGTTTTCTAACCTCCAAAACATCAAAATGCCTCTTAAGCCCACGCAAAACCCCAAACCCCTCTTAATCCTAGATTCTACTAATCATAATCCTTAATCCGCCTAAAATCCCCCAATATACCTCATAATCCCGTAAATACTTTGTGTTTAGGTCTGCTCAACTATACTGGCTTAACCATTTAACATGGCTTATTTTAGATAAATAGTTTTGTAAATAATGAATTATTAAAAAATAGTTCTGCGTTAATGAATTATCGCCGGATATTAATCTTATTTCTCCCCTAAAATCCCTCAATATTCATGTTTGGTAAATCCCTTGTCATCTCTCTTAAATCATCACTCCGTTTTACCTCAAATTGATCCACCAAAACCACGTTATACCGACATATCTCTCATTTCACTATTAATCGCAGCATATTAGCTGTTATCTCAAAACCTTAGATCTCTTTGTTAAACTTTGTTTAGTTTAGAACCTCGAATGTCTTCGAAGCAAGATTCCCGTGCTTCGCGGCGGCCGTGCTCGCTTCGCTCGCGGCGGCCGCCGGCTCAAAATCTTTACGTTGGATTTGTCTTTTAATTATCTTTTGGTTTTAGTCACACCTAATTCTAGCCTCACACCTACTGACGTACCCTGACTTTTATTCACTTGCTAGACCCTGAGTGAACGCCTTTTATCTTATCTTAACTGGTCTCTCATACTCGATTTTTAAGTCTTTGACTACGGCCGAACTCATTTGCTTTTTCAGAAAATTCAAAATTTTTGACCCTTATTTTGTTCAAAACCAAACTACTAAATGAACAAAAAACATTTGTCTTTTGTTTTTTTTCTCTTTTAGACTTTTTGTACTTTTAGGCTAGTTAGGCCTATTGTACATTCTAACTCTCTGTCCTTTCAACTTTTTAAGCAGTTAGACCTTTTGTACTTTAAAAACTGTTTAGGTCTTTTGTACGCTGTTCTCTATGAACCATTTTGTCTGGGCACTCGATGTTTACGTTTAAAATTTTGAAAGAGTTAGACACTTATCTCTTCTTCCCTTTCATATTTTATTTTCTTTTTTTTGTTGTCTTTTTATTGTTTATCATTTTAGAAAAATTTCGTTTCAAAAAAAATTCACTTTTTTAAACTGAAAAATACGTAAACAATTATATCGTTTTAGTATAGTTAATAACGAGCGTTAAGGTGCCGCTTCGCGGCACCTGAACGCTCGTATCTAGCCTTTTAAAAACTGAACTCGTGCAGCACCTTGTAATTTTTTAATCAACCTCATGACGGTCTCAAGTCCCCAGCATCACACTCCATTACTGGACTCTCATCAATTCATGACTCTGAACTCCAAAATTTATACACAAAATTCCAGATATATTATTTCCCTCTTAATCACCCAAAACTCTCAGATATACATTTAGGCCTAAAATCCCTCGATATTTCTCTTCACCGCAATAATATTAATGACCATCTCAAATCATCTGATATCTCTCTTGGCACACCCAAATCTCTAATATCACCCTTTATTCCCAAATCATTTGATAACCCTTTTAATCGGCGGTACGACAATTGCGGATACGCAGGTGCAGATACGACGATTGCGGATATAAAATTTTTAAGATGTTTAAGATTTTTTAAAGTTTTCAGTGCCACATCTGTCTAAAAATGATTCGGAAACCGTCAGATGAAACTGACAGCCGGGACAAAAACGGAATATCATTTCAATCATTTTTAATCCGTAATTGTCGCATTCGCACGTGCGTATCCGCAATTGTCGTAACACCTTTTAAACACCCAAAAGCCCAGAATCACCCTTAGACTCCATTCCTTTGAAATTTTAGACTCTAATCCTTAGTCGCCCCAAATCAAAGATAACACCATTTATCCCCCAAAATCTTCAAACATCTCTTTTAATCATCTTAATCACCATCCCAAATCCCCTGATATATCACCATCCGAAATCCCTTTTTACACCTCCCAGTTATCACACTTTATCTCCCAAAACTCAGATATTAACCAAAAGTCCCAAAATCCTCTGTTATCCCTCTTTAACATACTTAAATCATAGGTATCACCAATTATTTTCAGAATCTCTAATACCTCTTATCACCCAAAATCCTTTTCCCAAACTCACTTGATATTTTACTTAATCACCCTCACTTCCAACTATCACTCCTTACCAAAACCCATCTATTACCCTTTGACCCCCAAATCCTCTGTTATTCTTTTTAATTATCGCTAAAATCATCTGATATCTCTCTTAATCACCCCAAAATCTCATATATCATCCTTGCTACCCTCCAGTTAAAATACTCTAACCCTCACTTTTAATTCACCCTAACTCTGGAAATCTTGTTTTATTCCTCTGTTATACGTCTTTAATCCTCTCCCTACCTCCCAAACGCGTCATATCATTTTTTACTATCACCTTTTGTCCTCTAACTGCTATACATTAAACATTCCCAAATCCTCCGATTCACTAATCTCCTCAAATCACAAAATATCCCTGTTAATTTCTTCGCCTATATCACCCCAAATTACCACAAATCCCACTTTTGAATCTTTTTTTCATAAAAAATACACCTTTTATTCCAATCAAAACATTCGATATCACCCTTTATCCCAAAATCCCCAAATATCCCTGTTAATACCAAAAATACACGATATCACCCTTAATCCTTGTTATTCTTATTAATCCCCTCATCCTGATATCATATTTTATCACCCACTATCCTCCCAAAACACCCGAAAACTTTTTATTTCCAAACTCCCATTACCTTTAACACTTAATTCATCTTATTCTATCTCAAATCCCCCTATATCACTCATTTTTCCCATGACTAAAATATCACTCATTATTTTCAAAATCCCAGATAACATTCTTTAGTTTCCCAAATCCACCGATATCACCTTTTAATCCATAAATCCTCGGTATCCCTTTTTTATTTTTTATAAGACTCAATTCCCACATCCCCAAAAATCTTTTTCTACCCCAAATTAAACGATATCTTTCTAAATTCCCTGATATAGAACCATAAATACCCTTTAATCTTTTAATCACTCGATATCCCTCAAGTTAAACTACTCTAACTATCACTTTTAATTCGCCCCAACTCAAGATATCTCGCTTTATTCATCAAATACCCGATATCCCTCTTAATCCCACCAAATACTGGATATCCCTCTTAATTACCAAATCCTTCGTTATTTCTTTAATCTTGCGACTAAATAGCTGCGATTAATTAGAAATTAATCGCCTGCGAATAAAAGGCAGACGGCTGGTACTGCCGCGTCTAAATGGCAGATGGCTGGTTGTTTTTGTTTACACTTAACTTTTGCATACAAAATTAGAGAAAAACAACTTTTTCTCTTTTATTTTTTAAAAAGAAAAATTTTCGTGTCAAAACAAATTTTGTTTTCCTTTTTAAAAAGTGCAAAAAAGCGTGACGGAAAGTGTGATTTAGTATAGTTAATTGGCAGAAATCTGGCTTAAGGACCTCCAAAATTCTCAAAATTTTCGCCTGCTGCGCAAAAAATGGAAGACTTTTTGGCGCCTTCGGCGCCAATCAGTGGAAACAAGAATTAATAGAAAAGATTCATTTAGGAGAGAAATAAACATAAATATAAACAAAAACAAAACGAATAAACATTTTCTAATTTAATTTGGAGTGTACTTTTAATTTGGAAATTTAGTCCCTATGTACTTTTAAATCGAGATTTTTGTACTTTTGATAGGAATTTGTCGATGAGAACCCTGTTTTATTGCCTTTTTATTTCATTTTTATCAAAATTTATTTATTTTAATAGAAGGTGAGTAATCTCTGAGAAAAATTTTTTTAGCATTCCTTAATCTGTTATAAATAATCTAAAAAATAATTGAAATTTTTATTTTAACTTTATTTAAAAAAGCATTTTAAAGAATAACTTTTGGTACATATTAAATAGCTCAGAATCAGAATTATGTCGACATTCTGAGTGCTGACATTTTTTACTCTGATTTCGTATTTTTTTTTATTTTTGATTAATTACTTTTTTATTCATTTCCGATTTCCTGCTCCTCCTCTTGGTAATATAAAATAAAATTTATAAAATTATTAATTTACATTAATTATTCATATCCAAACTATATTTAAAAATTAGGAAATTTTTTTTAATTAAATTATATGTATTACCTTATTCACCATAAATATTCATTAAAAATAAATTAATTTAAAATTTAATCTAATTAATACAAAATTAAATAATAAATTCTGATTCAGCATAAAAATTTTTTTAACTTAGCTTGTAAAAAATTTATTTATTCATAGAATTGCTGTTTTCATTTTCAATTTATTTATTTTTTAATTTAAAAATGTTCATCAAAATTATCATTATTTTCATATTTTTCGTCGTGATCCAGAATGTTGAAGGCAAAAAATTTTTTCTATTAGAATTTATTTTTTCATATTTCAAGGCCTTCAATGCGTCGTTGAAACGAATCGGAATAAACCTGCACCAGTGAAACTTGGCGAATGTAAGGCGGATGGTAGTCTTGTGTGTACTGTAATTAATTGTGCAGGTTGTTTAATTAATGCTAATAGTTATTTTTATATTTAAGCTTTGAGTTAAAAATATTTTAAATTTTTAAAAAATGGCTAAATAACTTATTAGGTTTCTTTTTGACGGATTGTGGTTATTGTACAGCTGCTAAAGTTCAAATGGACGATAACACAATATGCGATTGCTATATGTGTGACAAGGATATGTGCAATTCTGTTATTGAAAAGTTAAATAATACTAAGACCGAAACTCAAGTTGAAGTTGCTACAAACCCTCCAAACTCTGTTGTGATTGCTGAACCTCTTCCACCTAAACCTCCAGCCACTCAAAACTTTGCTTTTGGGAAATATTATGGCAATCAGTTTTTGATTATTTTCATGTTGATCGTTGGACGTTGGGGTAAATATTTTAATTATTTTATTTATAATATTTTTTATTTAAGTTGGGCTTCATCTTCAGACTGGGATTGGTAACAAAATTAAGAATATTTAAGAAGGGACTAATCTTTTGGAAAAAATATGCGAAAATAATTTTTTTATTTTTAAGCTAATTTTAATTATATACATATATATTTTTAAAAATTTAAATAAATTTTATAAGCCTAAATTCTTGAGTCATTGACGTGCATTCATTAACAATCACAATTTGTATCAGCATAATTATTATACACACATATTTTGTATATGTTTTCACTATTTTTTATAATTATATTTTATGTTGAGTAAAATAAATTAAATTTAAGTAATTAAAATAAATTAATTTTAATACATTTAAATGTTGTTACCCTAAAATCTGCTGGTGCAAATGTTTATCAACTTTTTTTAAATCGAAGAAAATTTTATATTACAATGTTTCAAAAATTCCACAAAAATTTATGTGGACATTTCCATCGATATAGTGTAGAAAAGTAAAAAGAACGAAGTCTGTAAATTATTTCTTCATCGAGATCTCGAACCCCAAAAATCAACGGAAAATGGGGGTACAGTACTTTAAAAAATATTTTAACCCCCTAGAGCTTATATAAAATTTTTTCTTTTGGGCTCATTTGAAAGCCCATAAAATTTGCTACAAAATAATCCAAGTTTTTATTTTTCTAATAAAAACTCATGGAGATGGAGATAAGGCAATTTTTTAAGTTATCATTTTTGAGGTATTTTAGGGGTTTTTTGGCCATTTTTATGTGAAAGTCGATGTAAGTCGAACAACTATTTTTTAGAATAAATCAAACCTGTGCTATTTTGTAGCAAATTTTATGGGCTTTCAAATGAGCCCAAAAGAAAAAATTTTATATAAGCTCTAGGGGGTTAAAATATTTTTTAAAGTACTGTACCCCCATTTTCCGTTGATTTTTGGGGTTCGAGATCTCGATGAAGAAATAATTTACAGACTTCGTTCTTTTTACTTTTCTACACTATATCGATGGAAATGTCCACATAAATTTTTGTGGAATTTTTGAAACATTGTAATATAAAATTTTCTTCGATTTAAAAAAAGTTGATAAACATTTGCACCAGCAGATTTTAGGGTAACAACATTTAAATTGCTATAACTTTTTTTCTTATGGTGATGAAATAAAAGTTTTGAATGATTTTTAGACTAGATATATGGATGTATTAAATTGAAGAAAAATTTCTGATTTACTTCCACCAATTAAAATAATTTCAGCACTTTTTAAATTACAAATGCAAAGTTGATAAACATATGCACCGCACTGTATATTCAATTTACAATGATTTAAATAGAGTTGTACCCCGTACCCCGAACCCCGACCCCGTTCCCGAACGATTTTTTCACGATTCCCCCCGACCCGAACCCCGCCCCGAAACAATTCGAAAACCCCGTACCCCGACCCGAAAAGTTTCGGGGTTATCGGGGTTTTATACACCCAAAAAATGTCGTTTTTGGGAGAATTTTAAGAGAAAAATTTTAAAAATTTCCTCTGAATTTACTTTGCCTTTATTATTTTTGAAAGAAAAATGAATGAAATATCAAAATTTTCTTTCACTATTTATTAAGAGACTTGTGGATGAGTGGGTTAGTTGTTGGTTTTAGCCTATATTTCATTAATAAGGATTGGGTTCGGATCCATATAAGGATAACTCTTTTGTTTTTATATTTCTTTACAAAAACATATTATTAACGAGTTAAATTTTAATTTTAAAATATTAAATTTATTTTTAACGACCCTTAATCCTTCAAACCCCTTGTATCACCAGTAAGGGGTTCCCAAACATAACAGTTGAAAAACTATCAAGGTCCTGTTAACGGGAATCAGAGATATAAAGGGATTTGTAGGATATTGAAGAATTAAGGGGTTAAAGGGATTTAAATGGATATAATGTGTAGATTACAATGGATTTGAAAGTATTACGTGAATTTAGCTGATATATGTAGATGAATTAACAATATTTCGTGGGAGATTTAAGGATTAATCCGAGATATTTCCTGATATCGTCCAAATACCCTTATCCGCAATACTTCAATATCCTTATGAATCATTGATATCCCTTGAACTAACAAAAATCACTCCAGATCACCTTGCATCCCTAGATATACCATTTAATCCCTAAAAATCCCACTTAATCCCTCCAGATCCACTTATATCCCAAGTTATACACTTTAATCCCTTCAAATCCCCTCTAATTTCTCCAGATCCTACTTAATTTTTGAATAAATTAGCGAAAATATACCGAAATCTGATTATTTTTGAGCATTTTTTTCTCTAAAAATTTTTTCCTGAAAACCCCGTACCCCGACCCGAACCCCGGCCATATTTTGCTCCCCCGACCCGAACCCCGCCCCGAAACAATTGGAAAACCCCGTACCCCGACATACCCGCCCCCGAACGTTCGGGGTACAACCCTAGATTTAAATAAATAAATATGAAATATTTAAATAAATTTAAAATAAATAAGTCAAAAATTTTTACTTTAAAAAGGTAAAAAAGATTTTTTTATTACAACTTTTTTATCGTAAAAAAACTTTAATTATTCAAATAATTATTTAAATAATTTATTTAAATAAATTAAAAATTTAAATAAAAAAATATAATAATAAAATGATTGGCTAGTTTAAAAATTAAAATCATTTTATATTTAAACTTAATAAAATGAGAAATATTTTTTAAAAAATTAATTTATTATTAAATAATACAAAAACAAAAGTCAACTTAAACTAGTGCCAAAAGCTAACAAAATTTCAGATAAATATTTAGTGGATAATGGGGTAATCTAACATCAAAACTTCAGTGCAGCTTTGTTTCCATCTAACAAATAAGATTATTGATATTAAATATTAAAAACCGCTTCCGAAAATACAGCCCCATGGGGCTCTATATTTCAACTACCCTCCAAAGTGGGGCTCTAAATTCAAGATGGGGTTCTAATTCAGAGTGGGGTTTTATTTTCGGAAATACGGTATATTTTTTAAATTATTTGTTCCTAAAATTATTATATATTTTCCCTTTAACATTTTCCATTTTTTTTGAAAAAATTTAAATAATATTGTAGCTTATTTTAAAAAAATTTGTTGAATGGAGAAAAATTTTCGATAGAATTTATTTGTTTACCAAAGATGAGGACAATAAAAATTATTTCTTGTCCTTAAATATACAATAGGTTGTTCTTATCCAATTCACAAACAATTCCTTTAGTTATTTTATAATCTACATATATAGGTTTAAGATCGAGAGAGACCTTAAGTTTATTTTTTTTGTTTATTTTTATTTAATTATTATTTGAATAATATTTTCTAGTCTTACATTAAAATTGACCTCAGAATTTATTAAATTATTTAAAAATTTATTTTTTTAATTTTTATAAAAAATTTATATAATATATGTATCATTAGTAGATAGGGATTGGACTTTTGAAATAATAAAGTTTTAAGTAGAAATTTTGATCAGATTTTATCTTTACCGATCTCTAATATTTATTAAATTCCAATTTTTACTTTTTTATATCCATTCTTTTCATGTTCTCATGCTTTAATATATTAGTCGGTTGACAACAAAGCATGGGAAAGTAATTTATATATTTAAACATAAAGTATCACTCAAATCCTTTTCTTTCCAAATGGTGCGCGATGAATGCCAAAAAGCAGGTGAGAATGGAAGAAAGAATAAAAACACGCGGCTGGGTCCTATTTTGTTTTTCTGTGTGTGTTCATTTTCTTTTATTTTCCGACGTCCTGCTGTTGAGAAATTTTTGGAAAATTGAGAAAAATGTGGGGAATAAATTGTGAAAATATATTTGTGAAAATAACAAAAATACTAAAGAATAATGCGTGTGGGAAAGCATCCGTTTTAAACAGATTTTTATCAAAATAAATTAACTAAAACTTTAATTATTGGTTGTTTCTGTAAAGAAATGCCATTGTAAGAAGAAAAAGCGATTTAAAAAATATCTAGATAAATTTACTGACCTCTTCTATAATCTTTATTGTAAATTTTTTTAAAAAGAAATGATAAAAATATTTGTACCCTAGATTGATCTGTGTTTGTTAGTGTTCCATATTTTCTCTTATATTTTTAATTTAATCGAAATAATTTGTAATAGCTTCATCCATTTTTTAGAATAATTTTAAATAAATATTTTCAAAAAATATCTGTTGGTAGAAATATGAGTAGAAGTGAGGAAGTTGAAATTAAATATATATTTATTTATTTAGCTAATCCTTTTCTTTCCATTTTTATTTTTCAATCTCGACATAATTTACTTCTTTTCTAGACTTATCCCTTATGTAAAAAGTAGGGAGAGAGAGTCAATTATTATTATTTTTTACTTAACAATAAACCTAAATTCTGGTAAAAATAAAATAATTCGCGTGTCTTCTTACGTAATAAACAGAAGGTACGGATCAGTGAATTTATGTATACCTCTCTCCTGAAATTAATGGACATTGACACTAAAATGTGGATATTATTTGTAGTTTTATAAATAATTTTTAAATTTATTAAATGTGTTTTTCTAAATTTTCATTTATACTTAGTATGTATTATTTAGTATTCGGCAAATGGCATTCAAGATGATTGGTCATTTTTATAAAATTATTTTTTATTTCGAAAATTATTTTATATGTTATGGTCCAGAAAAACAATTTTATTTTTCAAGAATTAAATTTGCAATTACTCCAATTTTAAAAATACAAATGGCTGGGGATTTTATATTTGGATAGATAGTTTTTAAAAAACCTAAAACTAAAAATTATTCCTCAAATAATCATTGCTCTGGATTTGTTAAATGTCAGTCAATTTTATAAATTAACTAAAACTAATTTAAATTATTCTTTAATAATTGTGGATTATTTGTGGATTATTTTAAGTAAAAAAGTTAAATTTAAATAAAAATTATTTTTATTTCTTTTGATTAAGTTTTTATTTGCAGTCTATTTCGTACATATCAAAGAAATTCTTTCAAAAATAGGTACCTTAATTTTTATATAATATGCCACTTATATTTTCCATTTTCTAATTTATTCATTTTAATTAAATT